ACGTATAGTATTGCTGTCTTGTCCGCTAGTTGAGTCTGACATGGCACATGCTGGCGTGCTATTGTTGTTATCTTCACTGCCTCACTTTCGAAACAACCATGTGACATATATAAATAGATCTGCACAAAAAGTACGCGGGGCTTCCCTGAGATTTCAGTGGTCAAAACTGGACATTGCAAGCAGAACTCGACCATCATATTGCCGTGGTATAACTTTTGGAAGGCCAGAGAACGCATTTAGACCCATTTATTTTGTGTTTTTTTTCCCCGACCAGCCCCTTCAATATAGTAAATGGGCAAGTTACTCCAAGTCAGAAAAATGCCAAACAAATTAGAACTCTTCTTTGTTGGAGGTATCACTCTAAATCTACGTATACCATACTTTATAATAAAATTATTGTAGCTTTATAGGGGAATAAATGTGAAGTATAGCATCAGGTTAAATCAGTAGACATGATAAATGATCAGCCATCATGATTCCCAATGTCATTATGTTACTGTGGGTGGATCGGATGATTCACACGGATAGCTCTACTAATAAAAAAAACACTGACATCATTTCATGATCTGAAAGCCAAGATTTGTCAGAATACTGCCTACTCTTAATATATATGCTTCATCAATGCATTAACTGCCAATGGAACGATGACCTAGATTATATTACATGTATGTTATGAAACATCTATCCACAGTAAGATAAAGTCTAGATCTATTTCTTGTGTATCTGTGAACAGGTGACAAAGAGTATATATACTGATGTTAATCTACATGTATTAAGTCGCTATAGAAGCTATCGGATCCGAAGTCAGCTCTGAGTGTGGAAGGGTCCTATCTCAGTCCTCAGTACATTGTACATGTATGTAAGTATGGGAGGGTCCTCTCTCAGCCCTCAGTACATTGTACATGTAAGTGTGGGAGGGTCCTCTCTCAGCCCTCAGTACTACATGTAAGTGTGGGAGGGTCCTCTCTCAGTACTACATGTAAGTGTGAGAGGGTCCTCTCTCAGTACTACATGTAAGTGTGTGGGAGGGTCCTCTCTCAGTACTACATGTAAGTGTGTGAGGGTCCTCTCTCAGTACTACATGTAAGTGTGGGAGGGTCCTCTCTCAGCCCTCAATACATTGTAAGTGTGGGGGAGGGTCCTCTCTCAGTACTACATGTAAGTGTGGGAGGGTCCTCTCTCAGCCCTCAGTACATTGTAAGTGTGTGGGAGGGTCCTCTCTCAGTACTACATGTAAGTGTGGGAGGGTCCTCTCTCAGTACTGCATGTAAGTGTGTGGGAGGGTCCTCTCTCAGTACTACATGTTAGTGTGTGGGAGGGTTCTCTCTCAGTACTACATGTAAGTGTGTGGGAGGGTCCTCTCTCAGTACTACATGTAAGTGTGTGGGAGGGTCCTCTATCAGTACTACATGTAAGTGTGGGAGGGTCCTCTCTCAGTACTACATGTAAGTGTGGGAGGGTCCTCTCTCAGCCCTCAGTACTACATGTAAGTGTTGGAGGGTCAGCCCCAGCTCTAGGTACCAAGTTAGGGAGGGTCCTTTCCCAGTTCTCAGTACTACATGTTAGTGTGTGGGAGGGTCCTCTCTCAGCCCTCAGTACTACATATTAGTGTGGGAGGGTCCTCTCTTAGTACTACATGTAAGTGTGGGAAGGTACCAAGTTAGGGAAGGTCCTCTCCCAGTTCTCAGTACTAATTCAGTTTGAGAGGGTAGGCTCCCAACTTCCAGTACAAAGTGAGAGAGGGTAGGCTCCCAACTTCCAGTACTAAGTGAGAGAGGGTAGGCTCCCAACTTCCATTTACTAAGTGAGAGAGGGTAGGCTCCCAACTTCCATTAACTAAGTGAGAGAGGGTAGGCTCCTAACTTCCAGTACTAAGTGAGAGAGGGTAGGCTCCAAACTTCCAGTACTAAGTGAGAGATGGTAGGCTCCCAACTTCCAGTACTAAGTGAGAGAGGGTAGTCTCCCAACTTCCAGTACTAAGTGAGAGAGGGTAGGCTCCTAACTTCCAGTACTAAGGGAGAGAGGGTAGGCTCCCAACTCCCAGTACTAAGTGAGAGAGGGGTGGCTTCCAGCTCTCAGTACTAAGTGAGAGAGGGCAGGCTCCCAACTTCCAGTACGAAGTGAGAGATGGTAGGCTCCCAACTCCCAGTACTAAGTGAGAGATGGTCGTCTCCCAACTTCCAGTACTAAGTGAGAGATGGTAGGCTCCCAACTACCAGTACTAAGTGAGAGAGGGTTGGCTTCCAGCTCTCAGTACTAAGTGAGAGAGGGTAGGCTCCCAACTTCCAGTACTAAGTGAGAAAGGGTCGGCTTCCTGCGCTTAGTACTTAAGTGAAAGAGGGTCGGCTTTCTGCACTTTCCATCTCATGTACTAAGTGAAGGAGCTAGGGTCAGCTACTAACTCTAAAATTTTAAATGTGTAAGTATTGGCTAACAGCTTTGAGTACTAAATGTTGAAAGGTTGGCTCCCAGCTCTTAGTACAAGTGTGTAGGAGTTACATACTATGTACCATGTAAAGGAGGTAGAACCAGCGATAGACAGCCTGTTACTCAGTCATACTCTTATCTTCACACTAGATTTTTTTAAGTCCAACCCTATGTTCCTACTGGAACTTTTTATTTGATCACATAAACTACAGACGGGGGATCGACCAAGTAATAGTTGGACTTTAAGATATGTTCTAATTATAAAGTTGTAGTGATGGGATGATGCTGGTCTCACTGGGAGACAAGAGGGGTGTGTACCCCCACATAGTTCTGTGGTTACAATATCACAGCTTAGTATCCTGTTACACCTCATCCTGCTGCAGAACAACCAGTCCAGCAGGGAGCCCAACCCTCGGACCTACATGTTAATGTGACCACTACCAGTGTCTTGTAACTTAGTCCAGGACCTACATGTTAACGTGACCACTACCAGTGTCTTGTAACTTAGTCCAGGACCTAAATGTTAATGTGAGCACTACCAGTGTCTTGTAACTTAGTCCAGGACCTACATGTTAATGTGACCACTACCAGTGTCTTGTAACTTTGTCCAGATGTCCACAACAAATTAGCTAACATGCTCCATTTAAAGGAGCATTACATGTGTCATGTAAAATAAACATAAGACAATTTTGTATTCTTGCCTTGATTTACTGGAGGTCTAATTCAATTCAACACATACTTGCCCAAGATATAAATTCAAAGCTAACAAGTACTTGTACCGTACAAGCACTAGTACCTCACAAGCTTACGAGTACTTGTACCGTACAAGCACTAGTACCTCACAAGCTTACGAGTACTTGTACCGTACAAGCACTAGTACCCCACAAGCTTAGGAGTACTTGTACCGTACAAGCACTAGTACCTCACAAGCTTACGAGTACTTGTACCGTACAAGCACTAGTACCTCACAAGCTTACGAGTACTTGTACCATACAAGCACTAGTACCTCACAAGCTTACGAGTACCTCACAAGCTTACAAGTACTTGTACCGTACAAGCACTAGTACCTCACAAGCTTGTACCGTATAAGCTTACAAGTACTGGTATCATACAAGATTGGGAGTACTGGTGCCTTATGAGCTTAGAAGTACTGGTACCTTATGAGCTTAGAAGTACTGGTATATTACGAGCTTACAAGTACTGGTATCTTACGAGCTTACCAGAACTGGTATCTTACGAGCTTACAAGTACTGATATCTTACAAGCTTACAAACTTACAAGTACTGGTATCTTATGAGCTTAGAAGTACTGGTATATTACGAGCTGACAACTTAAAAGTACTGGTATCTTACGAGCTTACAACTTACAAGTACTGGTATCTTACGAGCTTACAACTTACAAGTACTGGTATCTTACAAGCTTACGAACTTACAAGTACTGGTATCTTGCGAGCTTACAACTTACAAGTACTGGTATAAGCTCTATGAGTACTGGTTCCGTAATACAAGACAACCCCATGACCTCTCTACAAGACAACCCCATGACCTCTCTAAGTACTACAGAAATCTCTTTAAAAATATAGTGATAACATTAACAAAATTCTTTATTGTTGGTAAATAACTTCACTGATAATCACCCATCCTATCAGTGTAACAAGTAAACATGACATCTGTAATCACGACCTAGATATAAAGTCTCACTAACACAATCCTCTCATTGTCATCTCTTAAAATAGCTAGCTACTCAGTATTTTTTACCGAAGTCATTGTGCCTAAATACAGCAATTCTATTAGAGAGTGGTTTTTGCACTATCTGAATTGATTTATTTACATAAGATAATACACGTTACCGACTGTCCTAGTTGAGGTGGGATATATTAGTATTTTATGAGCACGATACACATTACCATCTACTGTTATCCTAACGCCAGATCTGATCAATATGCTGGTTCATTGACAAATGAACTCAACCCCATGAACCCCGGCCAGGTGGTATTAGGGTAACTCTGACTCATTCTTACAACACAGGTTTTATTACTACAATATGTACATATTTATCACGAATGCTAAAAGCCATGAAATACAGAAATATCACAGACCTGTTTGTGTATACTCAGTATAAAGTGTTCTATTACATCTGTATTAGGGGATGTGCTATTTCGGTAACACGGCTTGTTGTGTAAATATATATCTATCCTGGCCGTACACAGACCAGTCCGAGAGATACCAAATAATTTCCCTCCGTACTGATCCTTTTCATGTTGCCGACTGCAACATCAGCAAGCTCCCAGCATCCGCAAATATTCCAAACTCGCAACTCGTTCCGCCATCTTGAATCCCCTAATTAACATGTATGTATTGTCTTTACATGATAATAAACAATTATCTGTTAAGGTAAATAAATATGTGGCGTATACCTGGAGGTAATAAAGTGTTACAATTAAAACAGACACTATGTAATGAGGGTTTTTACGGCGATGTTCTTCAATACACAACCCAATACCAGCACGGGATGCGAGCATGCGACCGGCGTTATTTACCGATACTTCTAATAGAACCTGTTACTTCACTCACCCATCTTGCAGCTTTTCCTGTAATGTCCAAGACTGAGTCGGTAAAATCACATGTCCCACAAGAATTTATCCACGAGGCATGCTTACACCATCGACACTACAAACTATACTCGCATCTCTGTGAGGAAGTGCTCCTATGTCAATACGGTACTGGGCCAGTCCACTTCCGCGCACCTTGGAGGGGGAACAGGTTGTTGATTACGGCGATGATAATACCGGGTTCTGGCACCCCGTAGGTGTAATGGACCGATTGGTGATACATGTATGTTCGTTCCCTATATGAGAAACCGTTCCATACTTAAATATTATCATTAAATCACGTAAATGTTTTCTACAGAGCGACTACCAGAGAGACACGGCAGTCAAGTGTCAATCAATCAATGTATCCCCGCCCCTTTCCCTGTTAGATCGCGGTGTCGTTACACACCTGTTACCTTACACGGACGAAGAGCAGGATGTTTTTCCTACTGTGTAGTGGAGCAATTGGCATTGTTTTACTGGTAATCATTGGATATCTGGTCAAGTGCAGGTAAGCCAATCATCGTAGTCATACTCTTACTTAAGTTTCTTTCGGAAAGAGCTCTAATTAGAACATGAACAGGGCTGTTTGTTGACATTTTTTTCTGTTGAATCTGATCAAAGTTATTAATAATGTGTAAGGTTTTTCAATATAAAGATGTGTTTTTGCTTTACTGTAGGATTTATAGAGATCATGTAACAAAGTAAAGTATGTAAAATTACCATTAAATATAGATAAGCCATGTAACATATGATTTTAATCAGATTGAGAAATTATACATAATATTATGAAAAGCCACAATTTTCTTAGATTCCCAACAAATCTATGAGATCTTTATACAATACAGCTGTTCCATCAAACGCTAACTAATCCATAAATGGTGTTTTTTAACATTTCTTTGTTTTGCATGCTAGGTGACGCATATTGAATGCTACATATATATATATATATATATATACATATATAATGTGATCTAAAACACAGTTTCAATTTTTGCATCAACTCTCACGGAGATCTTCGGGAAACTTTAGGAAAAACAGCTTACATTTAAGTGATATTCTCAAAATTTGATCTTCTTTTATCCTTTATTAGAAATACGAAACCCATGGTAATTATTTTTTCGTTAGTTTGCGCTATAAAGTGTCTGGTATGGCTATGCCAACGTGATAGTTACCGTAAATGACCGAATAATCACCCTTTCACCAACTGATCGTCCTCCAGTCGTTACGAGTACGACGAGCCGTCACCCAACCCTATCAGGTCTGGTAGGCCTGCAGTTTTAACTTTCACATTCTGTTAGATTTAGGCATTTTTTTTATTATAACGAATGTATCTGCGATAATATATCCTAAATGTATATACTATAGTATACATTTTAATGGGATATAAAGTATTTATTTCATTTTGGCACGGAATTAGATTAGATTTGCTATCTAAGTCCGTGATTTTGGTATGCATTTTATCATCCTTGATATCCAGGGGTTACGCTCACTTTCGTGTACAGAGCGAAAGTGAACGTTACCCCTGTATATCGAGGATGACATTTTCATCTCAAATTAGCTGTCATGGCGACCTTTCAGACACATACAAAATTACGTCATAAGCATTAGTTTTCAACTTCAACATTTCATATTATGAAGATACTACTTAGCAGTCCCTAGTCTGGATATTAATTTACAGATATCAAGTGTCCACCATGTTAGATACGGTAGTGCTGTTTGTGTTAGTCCGGGCTGTCAACGTTTACATTGTGGGGGTTATTGAAAGTTCAGTCTGCTCCCACCATCTCCCTCCCTCCATTACTGTAGTGCCCGCGCTCAAATAGACAGAATTAGTTGTAAATTAGGACAAGTATGTCTACTCGTCCACTGCAGTGCAATTACACATGCAGGACAAATTGTAACTAGTGTATGTCTAGTCGTCCTGTTCTTATAAGATCGGCAACGTCCGTAGGTCCACAGCTGGAAGTTTGGCATCAGCGTATGGAAATGACAACTACAAGTGTCGGTGAGCGATGGGGATGGGTGGTAAGATTCTGGAATGGCAATAGGATGATGGTCCATCGCTATGTTTAGTGGTACGAGTTACTAAGTCATGTCTAGCAGCTGGAGAACGCACTCAGGTACATATGGAAGAATAAAAGCGATACGGAGAGATTTGTACAAAGACACTAAATCATTTATATACTGAAATTCATCTCAACGGACTAACAATAAGAATAGCCACACAAAAAGTGTATCGACTTTAAATTTTCATATACAAGTTGTCTATGGTGTCAGCGTCAAAGTTTACCTAAATTCTGTGGTATGAACTGATTTCCGTTCGGCAACTTAGTCTCCATAGCAACTTGTTTGCATTCTACAGATTTGTGAGAGATATCTGAAATATATTGTCCAGGCATCCATCAAACAAGAAAAGTGTAAAAATATTTCCACTGGGGAACGCTTAAAATAATGTCGTCTGACCACTACAACGCAATGTGCGCCTGTTTCTGTACAATGACGCGGTACGGTGGTAGCGGTTAATATAAAGATTAAAGGTTCTAGGTCCATCATTGGCTACAGTTTACCGTATATCAGCCAACTCCACGTGGACTGAGAGAGAAATGGTATCGATTTCCGTATCAATGATATGACATTGATTGTGCTGATGTCTTCTCAGATTATTTCGACTATGTCGACGTACGTAACTTGTAAGTCGATGAAGAAATATGCCGTCGTAGAAGATGGGGCCACTGACTGGTTATATCACAGAAATGTCTGGACACGGCAGCATGACACACGTGACCTGTAAGAAATCGCCGAAACAAAGGGTATAGATAAGTGAGAACAGATAGACGTCAAAGTGGCAGCTCATTGAAATCGGTTTCCCCAAGGTTTCCCAACGCAGAAAGCTCTTGTGTGAGGATTCTTTTCGAAAAATGTTTTAGGAAATCATTACATCAAATTAACACTGACCATTGCTACCATTTAACCCAGTAACCATTGTACCTGGGGCCTTTTCGTGTATGCGGAAAACCGGCTTGTCCGTTTATAGATGTAATTTCGGGTATCAATCCTGGCAATGCAAGGCTTTGTCAAGGCTTTGTCAAGGCTTGCCTAAAAGCAGCATCAGATTACTAGGTCCGACCTTTTTTAATAAACGAACAACTGTGGTCCGACCGGTTTAACCGTTTAAACGAAACGGTCATGTAAAATGGAATTACCATCTCATAACCTTACCCTTGGTTAGTTGGTAAGCCTAGTTTGGTACGTGTTAATCAAACAGATGGCCAAGGATATCTATGTCAATTTACACGTGCTCGGCTTGAGTGATCACAACATAAACTTACAGGAAAAGCCTTAATTAAGCTGTATGACCTCTACGTCTTGTTAATTATGTTAGACAACCCGCGACAAAATCGCCTGTGATCTAGTGCGATCGCTTCTTTTGGCCGTTGTCGAGCAATATTTGTCAGTAAATACATTGTACTACTGAGATGTTGGGCTGGACTTGCTGAGATGAAGGTTATGTAAGGCTACCAAAGTTGTTCATGTGACGACTCCCATTACATTCGTGGCTACCTGTATCGACCGTGAGGCTATGGGGTGATATTATAATTCCGTATTTATAAAATAAAAATTAAATGCAGTAATTATTGGGTAAGATAATGGTGATATCCGTTAAATTCTACTCTGATGATTACTTTACTAACAGGAAGAGGAAAACTACGAATGGAAAACGACAAATCAACATTTAACGTTACAAATTATACATCCCGATGACTTCAACAACAAGGACTTTACCGGAAGATGTAGAAGCCATTTACAAGTTAACTTGCTCATTCGTATTTTAAAAAAGTTCAGAAAACTGAAGCTTACCTTTTTCCTTATCGTTTGGCGCCATTTCAGGCTTGGTGTTTATATCACGGCGGTGTGATGGTGGAGAAGGGGCTTTTATATCTGCTTCGTCTGTTTACTTTATTACATGTGTGTTAGCCACGCCTCAACATAATTTCGTCGGCAATTCCAAAATTGTCATATTCACATTGCATTTGCTATCTTACTTTGTTTACATAATTTTCCCTCTTCACGTTCTAATGAAATATAACTAAATTACAACTCAGCTTGCGATTTGGCCCGTGAGGCCTCTTGTAATTTTAATCACATTAACTTGCAGTGGAGGTAAGGAAAAACTAATTCATCAACTTGTTGTCTGTTCATATTGTAGTTATCTTCTTTATGTTGTTCGTTGATTGGCGTGTGTATTTGCTCCTTTATTGACGTCTGTGTGTTTCTCGGTTATTGACGTCTGTATGTTGTTCGTTTATTGACGTCTGTATGGTGTTCGTTGATTGACGTCTGTATGTTGCTCGTTTATTGACGTCTGTGTGTTTCTCGGTTATTGACGTCTGTATGTTGTTCGTTGATTGACGTCTATATGTTGTTCGTTGATTGACGTCTGTATGTTTCTCGTTGATTGACGTCTGTATGTTGCTCGTTGATTGATACTCGTTGATTGACGTATGTGTGTTGTTCGTTTATTGACGTCTGTATGTTGTTCGTTGATTGACGTCTTTATGTTACTCGTTGATTGATGTATGTATATTGCTCGTTGATTGACGTTTGTATGTTGTTCGTTGATTGACGTCTGTATATTGCTCGTTGATTGACGCATTTATGTTGTTCGTTTATTGACGTCTGTATGTTGTTCGTTGATCGACGTCTGTATGTTGTTCGTTGATTGACGTCTGTATGTTTCTCGTTGATTGACGTCTGTATGTTGTTCGTTTATTGACGTCTGTATGTTGTTCGTTGATCGACGTCTGTATGTTGTTCGTTGATTGACGTCTGTATGTTTCTCGTTGATTGACGTCTGTATGTTGTTCGTTGATTGACGTCTGTGTGTTTTTCGGTTATTGACGTCTGTATGTTGTTCGTTTATTGACGTCTGTATGTTGTTCGTTGATCGACGTTTGTATGTTGTTCGTTGATTGACGTCTGTGTGTTTCTCGTTGATTGACGTCTGTATGTTGTTCGTTGATTGACGTCTGTATGTTTCTCGTTTATTGACGTCTGTATGTTGCTCGTTGATTGACGTCTGTATGTTGTTCGTTGATTGACGTCTGTATGTTGCTCGTTGATTGACGTCTGTATGTTGTTAGTTGATTGACGTCTGTATGTTGTTCGTTGATTGACGTCTGTGTTGTTCTTTTATTGACGTCTGTATGTTGTTCGTTGATTGACGTCTGTATGGTGTTCGTTGATTGACGTCTGTATGTTGTTTGTTGGTTGACGTCTGTATGTTGTTCGTTGATTGACGTCTGTATGTTGTTCGTTTGTTGACGTCTGTATGTTGTTCCTTTGTTGACCTCTGTATGTTGTTCGTTGATTGGCGTCTGTATGTTGTTTGTTGGTTGACGTCTGTATGTTGTTCGTTTATTGACGTCTGTATGTTGTTCGTTGATTGACGTCTGTATATTGTTCGTTTATTGACGTCTGTATGTTGTTCGTTGATTGACGTGTGTATTTGTTCGTTGATTGACGTCTGTATGTTGTTCGTTGATTGACGTCTTTATGTTGTTCGTTGATTGACGTGTGTATTTGTTCGTTGATTGACGGCTGTATGGTGTTCGTTGATTGACGTCTGTATGTTGTTCGTGGATTGACGTCTGTGTTGTTCGTTTATTGACGGCTGTATGTTGTTCGTTGATTGACGTCTGTATGTTGTTCCTTTGTTGACGTCTGTATGTTGTTCGTTGATTGACGTCTGTGTGTTTCTCGTTTATTGACGTCTGTATGTTGTTCGTTGATTGACGTCTGTATGTTGTTCCTTTGTTGACGTCTGTATGTTGTTCCTTTGTTGACGTCTGTATGTTGTTCGTTGATTGACGTCTGTGTGGTGTTCGTTGATTGACGTCTATATGTTGTTCGTTGATTGACGTCTGTATGTTGTTCGTTTATTGACGTCTGTATGTTGTTCCTTGGTTGACGTCTGTATGTTGCTCGTTGATTGAAGAATGTATGTTGCTCGTGATTGTGGAGGACATTCTATCGACGTCAAGTACCGAATTATTGAAATAGGTGAAACTCCTCATTAATTTCAGTTTTACCATATTTTCGTCAACTGAAGTTTTTGCAGATAAGTTTTGGTTAATGTTTTCTTTTCGTGTCGATTTCTGCACCTGTGGTAACAGCTTGTTGTTTAGAACTTGTAACCATATATCGCCAATTGAAGTTTGAAGATAGGAAAATATTGGTAGAGATGAACGGATCTGTACATTATGTAGTTTGAGTATTATGGTGAACCTCAGAGCTTTGCTGGATAGAAGCAACCACTCCGGTTGAGTGGAACCAGACAGATCAGTACTTTATCTATGTTTCACTGTGGCACACGATAAGTATAATATTATAATGGTTCATTGATGACAATTACGTGTTTAACCATCCAGTTGCGACATTTCCTTATTTTATCTTCGCTTGAATTTCTATTCTTGATCTTCATGCTTCGTGGCACCTCCCTTTGCTGTATTGTAGAACGTTCACCCATGTGAAAGGGGTTCTATCCCCAAGTTGGGACATGCTAAAGTCCTTACTAATGGTACTTGTTATTCTCTGCTAAATGTTCAGCAATTAGGGTAGCAACGTGATGACCGGAGGGAGTACTGTTCTGGGTGCCTGCGGCATTTTCAGTGAGGTAGTACTCTAAAGTTGGCATCAGATCCGCGCTGTCGCAAGGATACATTATACTTACATGGAGGCACATACCCTATCTGTTAATAGGACGCTAGATCCAATTAACCAAACCAGTTGGGTTTTGCAAGAACGAAATTAATCTGAATCCTAATATAACCTGTTTGTGTCATCGCTTAGGCTGTTGTCATAGCTACGGAGTGCGTTATTAGATTTTTCTCGATAATATGGAGATACTGATTAGAAAGTACCTATATAAAAGGAAATACATCCCTATTCTTATCTTTGGTAGTATTGTCAGGGCCTTACGAAAGTTGATGTTTAATTCTGGATGTGTTGTTAAAGTGATAATCTAATATCCAAGTGTTAGGGCCTCGAATAGGTTAATAAGAGATGTTTTGAGTTTCGGTTCCATGCTTTTCTTTAAATTAATTTCTTACCGATATAACGTAATAATTCAGTAGAAGTGAGTCTTAAAATGTATACTTCTTGATTTCAGACTCTCACTGAACAGTACTGTCAGATATTCTCACTAAAATAAACCTAGGTTTGTACAGAGACATATAAAGCCACGTTACATATACGTCTCTGGTTTGTACTTTATACCTTTGTAAGGAGGCACATCACAAACGCTCTTAAAGTGCACGTCATATTTTTAAAAAGGACTTAGAATGGTGTGCGGTTTATTTAATTACGACAGACCTTTAAAGCACCATCAGGGAAATAGTCATTAAATTTATAATAACAATTTACAACATTTATATAGCGCCCTATATAAATTGCAAAATACAGCACGTGGTTAATGGTATTCCTACAGTGACAGTTATAAATATAGTAGATTAAAAAAGCATGCACTGCATGCTGTAACTGTTGTATCAAAATTATCCGATGAGATTGCAATTCATAATGTGAACCAACTAATTCTATGCTCGAAGTTTAAGGGAAAACTACGGTAGTTACTGAACCGTGATAGTATCGGACATATGACAATTCCCTGGTTCTTCTGACCTTGACAAATGGTCAATTGCCGAATGGTGTCGAGTGACCTCTGTTGACTAGATGGATACCCTCGAGCTGACCGCAGACGAGTCTTGGTACAGCTGACTGACCCTCTATCCTGCCCTCCCCTGCAGTCTGGCGCACAGTGTACTGTTCCGTGTGATAGGTCCCGTGAACACAGTAGCATACACACGGGATAGCACTACAGTTGTTGCAGACAACCTGTCCATCTTTCGTTAATGTAAAAAAATAATAAAAAAAAAATCTAGCATTATTCAGCTGAGGTCTTCATTAGATAGTTGCTTAAATTCAGACACTATTAATATTTACCAAGAGAGGAAATTGGTCGAAGTACGTACAGTGATGTCATAGGAATTTCACAGTACGACATTTTCCCCCAATGGATTCTGTGCACGGTTACGTTTTTTTCTGAATGAAATTTCATGAATTTGTTTTTCGTTCCATTCGATGGAATTCTCTACACAACAAGAAAATTATCCAACGTAATATTACTTGTTAACATAATTATTAATGTTTAACAATACTTAGGTCATAATTATTTTTTACGAAAAAATAGGTTTGTGAAAAATGTCAACAGTAAATATTTATGTGGAGATGAAAAGGTAAATATATTTACATCTCTAACAGGATACAAACTTTTTATCAATATTGGATCATTGGATGTCAATGTCACGTGAGAATTTACTGATGAATGTATGTATATGTCGCCGATTCGATGTGTCATAACGTTTCGCAGTTTTGAGTAGCACTGTCTAAGATCTTCACGTCTCCAAGTCCAACAGATATTGTCTTTAATCTGATTGATCATTCGGAAGACCAAATTACTCCACGTCATGGTCATGACGGTGTGGCTTCTCATATATATCCTGCACCTGCCATATTTGGACATAATGTATAAAAAAATACATATATTTATACGAGTTCTGTATTTATAGGTGAAGATCTAGGCCGTATAAAATACTGAAAACGAAGCAAGCTTATGAGGATAAACATGTCCTTATATAATATTAGGGGAATTTAAAGAAAATACATACATGTGAAATTATCAGGATTACTTCAAATATATTTCAACGTCAATCTGATGATGTATATATCTTATAATATGAAATATTAGACACAGTATAATTACGACATGTGTTTCATACCTGAACCCTCAGATCAACACACACTAGTGTATAATATAGTTTTATTGATTGAAGAAATGACAGAAACACGAGAGGCCAAATTTCCGGTCTTTGAACTCATGACTACGGCCACCAATATATGAACTAAACACCCGTGAACCTATGTGTTGATTTTGCGACCTACCAGGCACATGTTTCGCCGCTGATATTCCAGTCATGTAGATTTTGTGAGATTTAAACGTCGTGTAGAGTTTAAGAGAATTCACTACAAATGTTCCAAATTTGGTTTGAGGCAAATTACTATCATTTGACCCCAGGAAGTAACAACAATGACCGGTTATATGACTCCTGTTAACAAGATTTAGACTGGCCCCGTCTCTAGAATTTTGAATTATAAAAACAAAACAATTAAATCACTTTGAAGTCTGATTACAGACCTTAAATTTCAAAATAGGAAAGATCGGATAGTTAAAAACCACTTAGGGTCTGGTAGCCAGTCTAAACAATGTTGATATGTGTGTGACAAAGAACTACACGTGGAGATTTAATCTCAAATATACACGGATATAGTAATTTGACTGTTGGGTTTGGTAAAATTGATCTATGAAATTTTCGTTCTTTCCTGCAGACTCTCTTCTAAGAGGAATGTGCCACGCGACGTAGTCGTGCTGTACCAAGTGGGAAGAGGACCACGTGCCCCTAGCATCTCACCTTTCCCGCTTAAACTAGAAACCTTCCTGCGCATGGCAAAGATACCATATATGGTGAGACTGTTTATTTTAGGTCACCTGAGTTTTGCTGAAGTGACCTATTCTGATCGCTTTCCGTCCGTCGTCGCGCGTCGTTGGTTGTGCGTATTTTTTTTTACATTTTCGACTTCTTCTCAAGAACCATTGGATAGAACCTTTTCAAACTTGGTCAGAATCATCCTTGGTAGATAAGGCTACAAAATTATAATATTGATATACCTACCCCAACCCAAGGGGCCAGGGCGGGGCCACAAAGGGAAAATTAACCAATATTTCAAAAATCTTCTTCTCCAGACTCAGTTGTAATACAGTCAATTTCTTGGCATAGATGGAAAGATCCCAGGGGCTTTATTTAAATTGTAAATTTTAGCACCCCCGAGCCATCCGTTCTCCCTTCGGGAGGGGGTAAAGTTCACTATAGTTTATATAAGGAAATAACACTTTTGGGGATATTTTGTTCATTTTCAATAGTAAATTATTATTACTTGGTGAAAATCATCCTTGGAGGAAGATTGTATCAAATTGTCAAATTGGGATTCCTGCCCCAACCATAGGGGCTGGAGGGGTGGGGCCCAAATGGGGATTATAGTTAAAAAAAAATCTTCTTCATCAGACTCAGATGTTTTACTGTTCTTGGATAGAAAGGTCCTTACTAAAATTGTAAATTTCATTATCCCCCAGGTCATCTGCTCTCCCTTGGGGAGAGGGTTATTCTCAATAGCAAAATAATTAATTTGAATAGTTTTTAAAGTTCTTATCCTTTGGCGACATGACAAGTATTGTATTTCACTTTGTTTACATGTTGTTTTCCACATTTTGTACATCTCAACAATGAAATTGAGCTACAAGTACCTATAATAGAACTCAGGTGACCGCTAAGGCCCTTGGGCCTCTTGTTTTATATAATATTTGTCGCGAACCATATCAATGAAATATCATGCGCATTTCGTGGGCACTCTTTACATATGCTTTAGGAAAAACTTGAGGTTGGATAATCTCAGAATTTAATGTTAATAAGAGTTATCTCCCTTCGCCTAGAACGACCACTCATCAAAGTTCTCAAAGAAACAGAAAACACCGTGGATGGAGTATAATGGCGTGGCAATAGCTGACTCACAGTTCTGTATCGAACATCTGAAGAAGGAGACGGGCAAGGATGTCAACAGACACCTCACCCCCGAGCAGGTGGGCGTGGCCAGAGCTTTCCAGAAACTCACAGAGGAAAATCTGTACTGGTAAATGAATTCAAAATAAATAAATCCTAGTTCTCTAATATCTCGGTCCCAGTAAAACATCAAGGATAATTATTTTGTCAAAACACACGTATATTGTAAATAATTCAAATTAATCTCCATATTTGTCTATGTGGTAAATCTTCTACGCCTCCCTTGTTTCCGGTCACCAGGACCATGTGTTCGGAGATGTTCGGAGCCGACACCACGGCAGTCAAATCGGTTATCCCGTACAGGGGCATAAAGTTGTGGCTCCTCCTTTCGTTCCTCCGCCGCGCCCTTCGGAAAGAGATGTGGGGACACGGTATCGGACGCCACACCCCGGACGAGATCTGGTCCATAGCAGTAGGGGACATGAGGGCACTGTCACACTTCATAGGTAAGTCTTAGTCTCGTTCAACCAGACGCGTGCTCACTTGTAATTATCTATGTTCGGCTTAGCTTGCGCAGGCAATAAGAGTCTGTTTGAACGAGACTAAGGTAAGTCTTGGCTCTTGCTGGTCTCTGACCCAATGCATATGACGTACTCCTATTTCGGTACACGTGCCGTCACATGGTAAATTTGAGGAATCATAGCCAATTATTGGTTGGTCAAATGGTCATCTCTACAGGTATTAATTTTCAGGTCCAAGTGTCTCCGCTAGGATTCGAACCCGAGACTGGCGAAAACTGGTCCACTGATCTACCGTTTGACTGACCATTTACTCATTCACCCCTGAAGACACATTTGAACTCTTCCAATTCAAAGGTTGGATTACTTCATTATGAAATTTCAGGGATGAATGAGTTAACTGTTCGCCACTGTAACACTTAGACATATAACTCAACCAGAGAATAAACAAACCAACAAAACATAGGACCAGTTATACTCAGTGGCGACAGAAATCTTGATTTCTGCGCATTTTGATTATGCTTATCTTTTATATAGGGTTGAAGTGCTCAGTTGCGAACGTCTTACCGTCCAACTGTTTGTTAAACGGTTTATGGACTAGTTAGCAGTACTATCTGGGTAGACGTAGACATACTAGGATAGTAGTATGCCGCTCGTGGGTATCACTTTGTATTCTGTTGTAGATGACAAGGCGTTCTTGTTTGGTGACGAGCCGTGCGAGGCCGACTGTGCAGTATTTGGGATGCTGTGTATGATGATTGAACACATGCCTACGTCACGGCACGAGCGACTCATCAAAGGTACCGTCTTACAAGTGTATATCTTTGACATGTTATATACAATGTACCTACTTACTTGATTGTACCCAGTATATATGGTGACTAGTTTGTGCCATTTCATATTTTCGTCTTTTCACCGATGGTGCCAGAAAAGATCAGCGCCTGGCCTGTATCATAAAACCGTTCTCATGCTCAAGCATGGATTCTGTGCTGAAACCAGTTTTCTTGTTACTGGCTTAAATAATGCCAAATGATCATTTAGTCAAATGTAAACATTCAAATGTTTTCCGAATAATTGACAAAGTATATTTTGTTTTATTTATTTATAAACAGAACAAGAAATTAGGTTTGAGCACAAAATCCCTGCTTGAGCATGAGAACGGTTTCATGAATACGGGCCCAGATATTTCGAGTCTTTGAAGTTTCCTTTTTCTTCGCCCAAAAAGACAAAACAACAAAAACATTTTTTTATATATATATTTTCGCCTTTCTGGGCGAAAAGATGAAATAACGAACGAACGATATTCAAACAAACTACATTTAGTGTCGAAAAGACGAAACAACGAAATGGCACAATTGAGCCAACATATTATAGAAAGGTTCATGTAGCACAATCATTTAATTGTTGAGGTGCGACGTTTCAATGACCAGTACTATAACATGTGTTAGAGGTTAGGATCAACACCCGACGTAACGTGATTATGTACCATCAGTAGGTAAGTACATGTATAAACCTCCAAAACGTTTGATAGCATTCCCTACATACTAAAAAGGTCTCTAAATACAAACTGCAGGTAGGGCGTCAGAATTGTACCTGCTGCCCCCAATTGCATGATCGTAAGAGGCGACTAAATTTGGGACCTTATCTCTTCTCTCCTTTCTAAATAACTTTCTTCTTCCTAATGTCTCCCTTGACAATGCCTCACTTTTGGCCATTTGTTGAGCGTTCGCCCCTGTGAGGAAGGCTTTGGGTTCTGTCCCCTGGCCGAGACATACCAAAGTCTTTAAAAATGGTAGTTTCTACTCCTGCTTAACGCTCAGCAAATTCGGAGTGGGACGACTGGTTCACCCGTTGTCAGTATAATGTGACCGGGTGGGGCGTCCTGCTGGGTGTCTTCGGCAGTATGTTTCAGTGAGGTAGCACTATAAAGTCGGCATCAGTTCCGCGCTATCACAAGCAGACAAACACGAACATATCGCAGCCTCCCAAAATACACCCACATACACTACACGCATGCATTTTGCACACAGGGGAGGCCGTCCTTAAATGACCTTAGCTGTTAATAGGACGTTAAACAAAATCAAACAAACCCTTATTCCCCTCGGTCCTTGTGCCAGTGTCCCAAATAGATGCTGCTGATGTCGGTTTTTAGTTAACACAGTATCAACAATTGACACGCTAACCACGTTTATTATTTAGAGCTTCAGATTTTCCAACAGACTTTTATTTCCAGCACAAATTCTTCGACCCAAAGTAATTATAGCTGACTATTACAATGACTCACAATCATATATAGCTCGGCATATCTCACAGCGTTATCACTACTGTACCAATGGCTCTTTTCCCGCCATTTGTGTATACTTGTGAACATCCGGTTTCGTTTCGTCCTCACACTTGGCTGTCTGCCTTTGGTTTTCATTTCTTCCCAAACTTGGTCACCAACTCGTACGAACATAGGTTCAATATGTGAAAACTCAACAAAGCATAAACACAATCGTGAAAATCATAGCAACATTACTGACACTCTCACTGTGTTTTTACGGGCAACCATCATTCACACACAAGAGGCATAAAATACCCGTGACATATTGAATGCCTCAAGGAACCTGTTTGGGTCTGGTCCTCTTCATATATATAAACTCACGGAATACGTAACAAACAGCACACTGACGGTATATACAGAAGACAGCATGCTTTACTAATTACCAACATTCTACATAAAGACTAAGACGCAGCAAGCAAATGAAAAGGAGATTGGAGAGTGACACCCATTAGTGTGCATTAAAGGTTGTTATTACTACCTCGGTTCTCCTATTGAGGACCTGACATTACACGGGTTTCACCTACATTTACATTATGGGTGTTGTCGACAAACCATAGGACGTTAATCCCTCCGGAACACATGGCTTTATTTTCCTTTGTAATTTTTTAAATGGTCTCTATGTGAATCTTAACCTGGTTTATTTTCAGAATCATTGTTGTTTTTTTTGTCATAGCAAAAATGAAGGCTCGCTGCTAGATATTCTATTAGTCTCAGGTAAAAAAAAAGACCAATCGCTACGCTGATGTCCGTCCTTTGGAGATTATAAAGGAGCGACACCCGACTTCAAAACCGGTCAATTTTACCGTCACGCGACCGCGATAATTTTTGATGTACGTCAAAGGATCAGACTAGTCTTCTTGTCTCCTGAACGGGAGCAGTACCCCTGGAGTACAGAGGATGCATACTAGCAAGCGTCACAGTTTGACCCTAGTGACGTTTGGTTCGGTACTGACCTATCCAGATTTACTTAAGTTGTTATTTTTGCTATTTTACAGGGGAGCTTACCAACCTAGTAGACTACTGCAACAGGATGAAGGCCCGATATTGGCCGGACTGGGACAAGTGTATACTGACCGGAAAAGGTTACGCCAATGACAGTGGCAAGATCTATAGGTTTGATAACTAGCGGAAGCGGCACATAGCTGTCCAGTGGAACACACTTTGTATGCATAATTGGCTTCCAGAACCAGACCCTCTCTACATCATGTGGCCGATTTTCTTCACGTGCTGTTACGCATTTCTGGACAACGTGACGAAGTTGGTTGGGAGGACTGGTCAGCAGATTGATCAACAATAACCGCGGGTTCTAGCTGCTGAAAGGAGGAGTTATGAAGGCTGCCTGATTTCGCCCGTATTTCCATGACAAAGCGACATTGCATCTTTTAAAAGATGTTCTGAAGTTGCATGTTTCTGTTGTGGAGGTGAAGTGATGTTCTATCAGTATTACTATGTTAGATGTTTATATAATTTAGTTACTTGTAAACATGTATAGCGCTTTGTGTAGGTCATCTGTCCCGGCCATACGGAGGTCGGACCTGACCCGGCCATACCAAGGGCAGTCCTGTCCAGTCTTAGTGGTGATGGACCTGACCGATCATACGGAGGACACCCCGTCCCGGACTTGTATTACAAATTCCGTGAAGGTAGCGTCATTTTCAGTTGCTGAAACTTGCAAATCACAATTAGGAATACTTTATGTGGAAACATCCTTGGAATTCCATAAGTTATGCTCCCTAACGTTCTCTCCACAACGTAAGTGGGCGTAACCCCTGGGATTTCGAGGATAGTGTAGAAGTCTGATTTGACGGAAGGATAGAAATGGTTACGGTATGCGAGTGTTCGATCATGTGTGAACGACTTTGTAATAAGGAGGCACTGGGGTGCGACACTATCTATAGTAAATTGTAGGATTTTTAACTATGTATTATTGTGTAAGCTGTTTTAAGGAACGACCAAAGATATTATATACTGACGAGACATGCACTATAGTGATGTTAAATTGTAGTTGTCATTAACTGTATGAATTAGTTTGTAAGATATTTTACAGAACGACCAAGATGTTAATAAAACTTTTTTTTATTTTTCACAAAAGTAATGTTTCTTCCGTCAGCTGAATAACGATTAAGCCAACACATTGTATGTTATCACAAAAAAAACATACGCTCAATTGTGTTTTCACGGATAGGAGATTTGACCAGAGACTACGTTTATGACTGGTATTGTGTTGTCACATTTCCTGGAGACAGAAGAGTAAAAGTCCATACCATCTACTTGATAACCAGCTGATGACGTCATACATCTAACAATAACCGCTGTTCTATCAAAAAACACATGTCAAAACATTCGCAAAGAACTATATCTTTTATTTTTTCAAATGTTTCTGTTTATTTTTGTAGTTTAAACGTAAGTCTCTATACGTGGTATAACAACAAGAGACCCAGAGGGCCTGTATCGCTCACCTGGAAATGTTAGTAAAATTGAAGTTGGAATAGCTAGATGTTGCTGGTAGTGTACATGTATTACATGGTTAGTCAGGGGTTATATTTATGTAATTGGAAAAAATCCTGTCATTCCTACAGGAAAAGTTGGATTTTGAAGAATTTGCTGTGTTTCCCCTATTGGGCCCCGCCCCGCTGCCCCAAGGGGGGTCAGACCCACCTTTGGTACAAAATCAGGTCGCCTTTACCCAATGATTTTTTAGACCAAATATGGACAAAATTCTGTTATTTCTACAGAAGAAGAATTTTCAAGAATTTGCTAAATTAAAGCTATTCCTCTATATCCCTTATTTGGCCCTGCCTCTCTGCCCCCAGTGGGGTCAGACACACCGTTTATACAAAATTGGTTCCCCTTCACCCAAGGATATTTCATACCAAATTTGGACAAAATCCTCTCATTCGTTTCCCCTATTGGGCCCTACCCTCTGCCTTCAGGGTGGCCACACCAAGACCAAGATGCAAGGATGCTCCAGACTAATTTAGGATAAAATACTTTAATCTCTTTGGTAGAAGAAGGATTTTAAAGGTTTCACCTCTATTTCCCCTATTCGGCCCCGCCCCTCTGCCCCCATGGGGGCCACACCCACCGTTTATACAAAATTGAGTCCCTTTTGCCCAAGTATGCTCCAGACTAAATAAGGATAAATCCTTTAATCCCTACTGTAGAAGAAGGATTTTAAAGGTTTTACCTCTATTTCCATTATTTGGCCCCGCCCCTCTGCCCCAAGGGGGTCACACCCACTGTTTATACAAAATTGAGTCCCCTTGGCCAAAGGATGCTCCAGACTAAATAAGGATAGAAAACTAATCCCTACGATAGGAGAAGGATTTTAAAGGGTTTAGTTCTATTTCCCCTATTTTGCCCCGCCCCTCTGCCCCCAGGGGGACCACACCCACCATTTATACAAAATTGAGTCCCCTTGGCCAAAAGATGCTCGAGACTAAATTAGAATGAACTCCCTTAATCCCTACGGTAGAAGAAGGATTTTGAAGGTTTTACTTCTATTTCCATTGTTTGGCCCCGCCCCGCTGCCCCCAGGGGGGCCACACCCACCATTTATACAAAAATGTGTCCCCTTGGCCCAGGGATGCTCCAGACTAATTTAGGATAAAATTCCTTAATCCCTATGGTAGAAGAAGGACTTTAAAGGTTTTACCTCTACTTCCCTATTCGGCCCAGCCCCACTGCCCCCAAGGGGGCTACACCCACCGTTTATACAAAATTGTGTTCCCTTGGCCCAAGGATGCTCCAGACTAAGTTAGAATAAAATCCCTTAATCCCTACGGTATGATTTTATAGGTTTTACTTCTATTTCCTTTGTTTGGCCCCGCCCCTCTGCCCCAGGGGGGGGGGGGGCACACCCACCGTTTAAACAAAATTGAGTCTCCTTGGCATAAGGATGCTCCAGACCAAATTTAGTCAAAATCTACATAGCCGTTCAGGACTAATTACATTTTAAAGGAAAAATTGGATAGACGGACGACGGACGACGAACGCTGCGGTATGGCATAAGCTCACCACGGTGATTCGGACCAGGTGAGCTAAAAAAAAAACCGTGAATACAATAGATGTTGTTTTATCTGGTAGATTTTGATCTGTTATACCTTCCTCTACCAATCCTGCTATTATGATTGCCTGACTTTTATACATCCAACGGGGAGATTCCTTTCCATGAGATGAACGGAAACATTCACATTTCTGTTTCGAACTTACATGTAACTCCTATCTAGTTTCATGTTCTTTAGTTTGGCCACAAACTCTCACTATACTTATTGTTGTGAACATTGAAAACAGCTATAAACTGTTGGTTGTACGTACATTGATTGTTCAAATCAAGATTGTTTATAAAACAGACGCTCGACGTGAACGTTACGTCCAACCTTACACCAGCGACGATAACAGGGCCCCGCTAGCTGACGACACATATTTAAGGAACTATTCATTTGGCGTTAAATGAAACTTTGAAAAGACTCCGAAGGAAAACAATATCTTTCAAGGATTTCCATAGAATATTATTTATACATTTTGTTTGTTTTGAGATCCTGCCCTCCTTCAGTCTCACGTCGGTAAAATTGTCAAGACAACTTTCCTTCGGCGAGATTGAAGAAGGACATAGAGCCCAAAACATTATAATATTCTGTGGATCTTTTTAAGTAAAATGTTTTCAAATTGACTCCCAAACCACCACCAAAGCTTCAGTGTTACCAATAGGGAATTCCGAAAATCTGACCAATCAGCGCTTGCTGATCAGAATCTCGCCAAAAATGGCAGTTCTCAACAACGAGCGATGACTAGCGGAGTGAACAACGAGCGATGACTAGCGGAGTGAACAATTAGCGATGACTAGCGGAGAAAAAGTTTTATCTGATCAAATTAAAGATACATCCGAAACATTATGTTTAAGTCTAAGTGTGGAATAAATAGTTAGGTAACTTCAGTTCTTTCATCATACAGCCAAATCTTTGTGTTATAACTTACATGTACTTTTTCAAGAAGTCGTTAAAACAGAATTTTATTTCAAACACGGATGGTATAATAATTTAACTCGTGAAATATACATTCATAAACATTGTACAGATTTACACACTATGACACTATGACGATACAAAAAGAATACATAATTAACAGGTAACATTGATATACTGTCAAACGTCAACAGGTAAAAGTCATCGTGCACGTCACATCACCTATAGCGACGTTTATCAAAAAAGGGTGAGATAATCCTTAGACATTGATATGGCATGTAAGGGAAAGTCACAAATGTCAGAACATAAAAATTGTTGAAGTGAGAGTTATCTACCTTAGATCAGTTTCTCTCTCCATCACATATGACTGTAGAGATCGCAGTGTTGTTGACACACTCTACGTGTTTGTACATATCTTCACCGTATACTTAGATAAGCATTATTCACATGCATAAATCAAAACAACGTGCTGAGCAGTTCACACAAATGCTGATTTTCAGCCGTATGAACAATTTCTAACAAAATCCAAATTTCATTCGTCTGTGTTCACTTGTAAATAATATTTCAGCATATAAGTTTACAATCCCGACGACTTGCACTACATTTTGTCTCTAGGATGATCCAGTATTTAATGGGAATGAATGACATAAAGCACCTCGCGCACCCGTCTCAGCCAGATGAATGTAACGTGTTAGTCATTGTAATAACGCCACATACTGCACTTCATTAAGGAATGTCGTCATACAGCACCAACAATGCATATTATATATACAGACAAATAGCAACAATAATTAAAAAGGGAATCTTGATTAGGTGAGAAAACACTATTCTAAAATTAGTGAACTCCTACTTATATGTTATTTACAAAAACAATCAGTATATCAAAGATAGGGAAGAAATCCTGTTATTTTTCCCTTTTTTCGATTGGTTCCCATTAATAACTCTATACAGTGAACATATCACAGTCACTGGGCAAATGCCAAGTAACGAACGACGCCCACTAAAAAGCCGTACCGACGCCAATGAACCGCCGACGTCCAGTCGACACGCAGGCCACAAGATGCCTAGTCGACGCCGACGCCAAGTATCCGAAAAGCTCATTGGGCTAAATGTAGGGTCAGGTAAACTAGAACGGGAATGTCTTATCTTGTAGGAATGTTGTCCCAGTAAGACGTAAACTTCTAAATCAATACTTACTCTAAAGGAATGCCGCGGATTCTTAATAATACACGGCGAGACTTTGGACAGCTACACTGTACAAGTTTTGTTGATAGTTATGCGGCTAAGATTATGAACTCAAATGTCTACATTAGTGATAAGAGTTTCAGTTAAGAAAACATGTCAGCACGATACACAATTTTTACACCCCACTATTTTCACACCCGTCCCCCGTCCCATTCCCACTCCTAACACACACACTGAGTCCCGGTCACGTGATAGGCGCCTTTGAGAGTAGAGTTCTATCCCTAATTCGCTCCTTTTTATAACATCAAAAAGTCATACTATTTACACGCAGGGTAAAACACTCGGTACAAAACTAAAGTTCAACAAAACATCTTTATACTTTTAAGAACGCATCCTTGTCTGCGAGATGTTTTAAATCTTTGCGACATCCGTGTTGTTGTCAGGAGCTTTCATTACGACTTCCGTTTCCGTTTTTTCGAGCGTGTTGGTATGACTGGCTGGTTTTGAGGGATGTAGACCAGTGTTAGTTGTTTCGGATATGTCGTAATCATTTGTACTGTCTGTTGTCCGCAAGCTGTCCGTCTTTATGGCCTGGAGACAGCGCTGTTGGTGAGAATAGAAGTCCTGTTTCGATTATATTGTCACGTATAAATATGACGTATGGCCACGCATATGCACTCTCTACCAAACAATTTATTATGTTATTAACATCTTGCATTTAAAGAAAATAGGGTCGATGTAGTAGACAATTGTTTTAATGTGATATGTTAATACTTCGTCCCAAAGAGAAATCTTCAATCAATTGCAGAATTCAAATGAAGCCAGCTTCAATATTAGACTATATAAAATTTGGTACCAAAATATGTTCTCCAAGGCACATGATCAGAATTTCTTCAGACATATGACAGTACCTGACGTAACGTCCCCTTCTCGTTAAAAACTGCATGTACCGCCCCGAATATGAGTCCCAGAATGATAGGCGAGGCTGCGATAAACCATCCCACCATCTCAGCCTCTCTCTGGTCGTACCCCACTACAGGGAACGGGTATACGTACACAGCACAGTAGTAAATCAGCATGGCCTGTAATACAGTAAATATATAAACATACAGAATATAATCAGTATAAATATATACACATACAACGCACAGTAGTAAATCAGCATGGCCTGTAATAAAGTATATAAGCAGTATACACGTTTCCCGTGAAGTAGTTAATAAGTAATGGCCTGTAATACAGTATATAAGCAGTATACACGTTTCCCGTGAAGTAGTTAATTAGTAATGGCCTGTAATACAGTATATAAACAGTATACACGTTTCCCGTGAAGTAGTAATTCAACATGGCCTGTAATACAGTATATAAGCAGTATACACGTTTCCCGTGAAGTAGTAATTCAACATGGCCTGTAATACAGTATATAAGCAGTATACACGTTTCCCGTGAAGTAGTAATTCAACATGGCCTGTAATACAGTATATAAGCAGTATACACGTTTCCCGTGAAGTAGTAATTCAACATGGCCTGTAATACAGTATATAAGCAGTATACACGTTTCCCGTGAAGTAGTAATTCAACATGGCCTGTAATACAGTATATAAGCAGTATACACGTTTCCCGTGAAGTAGTAATTCAACATGGCCTGTAATACAGTATATAAGCAGTATACACGTTTCCCGTGAAGTAGTAATTCAACATGGCCTGTAATACAGTATATAAACAGTATACACGTTTCCCGTGAAGTAGTAATTCAACATGGCCTGTAATACAGTATATAAGCAGTATACACGTTTCCCGTGAAGTAGTAATTCAACATGGCCTGTAATACAGTATATAAACAGTATACACGTTTCCCGTGAAGTAGTAATTCAACATGGCCTGTAATACAGTATATAAACAGTATACACGTTTCCCGTGAAGTAGTAATTCAACATGGCCTGTAATACAGTATATAAACAGTATACACGTTTCCCGTGAAGTAGTAATTCAACATGGCCTGTAATACAGTATATAAACAGTATACACGTTTCCCGTGAAGTAGTAATTCAACATGGCCTGTAATACAGTATATAAACAGTATACACGTTTCCCGTGAAGTAGTAATTCAACATGGCCTGTAATACAGTATATAAACAGTATACACGTTTCCCGTGAAGTAGTAATTCAACATGGCCTGTAATACAGTATATAAACAGTATACACGTTTCCCGTGAAGTAGTAATTCAACATGGCCTGTAATACAGTATATAAACAGTATACACGTTTCCCGTGAAGTAGTAATTCAACATGGCCTGTAATACAGTATATAAACAGTATACACGTTTCCCGTGAAGTAGTAATTCAACATGGCCTGTAATACAGTATATAAACAGTATACACGTTTCCCGTGAAGTAGTAATTCAACATGGCCTGTAATACAGTATATAAACAGTATACACGTTTCCCGTGAAGTAGTAATTCAACATGGCCTGTAATACAGTATATAAACAGTATACACGTTTCCCGTGAAGTAGTAATTCAACATGGCCTGTAATACAGTATATAAACAGTATACACGTTTCCCGTGAAGTAGTAATTCAACATGGCCTGTAATACAGTATATAAACAGTATACACGTTTCCCGTGAAGTAGTAATTCAACATGGCCTGTAATACAGTATATAAGCAGTATACACGTTTCCCGTGAAGTAGTAATTCAACATGGCCTGTAATACAGTATATAAGCAGTATACACGTTTCCCGTGAAGTAGTAATTCAACATGGCCTGTAATACAGTATATAAGCAGTATACACGTTTCCCGTGAAGTAGTAATTCAACATGGCCTGTAATACAGTATATAAACAGTATACACGTTTCCCGTGAAGTAGTAATTCAACATGGCCTGTAATACAGTATATAAACAGTATACACGTTTCCCGTGAAGTAGTAATTCAACATGGCCTGTAATACAGTATATAAACAGTATACACGTTTCCCGTGAAGTAGTAATTCAACATGGCCTGTAATACAGTATATAAACAGTATACACGTTTCCCGTGAAGTAGTAATTCAACATGGCCTGTAATACAGTATATAAACAGTATACACGTTTCCCGTGAAGTAGTAATTCAACATGGCCTGTAATACAGTATATAAGCAGTATACACGTTTCCCGTGAAGTAGTAATTCAACATGGCCTGTAATACAGTATATAAGCAGTATACACGTTTCCCGTGAAGTAGTAATTCAACATGGCCTGTAATACAGTATATAAGCAGTATACACGTTTCCCGTGAAGTAGTAATTCAACATGGCCTGTAATACAGTATATAAACAGTATACACGTTTCCCGTGAAGTAGTAATTCAACATGGCCTGTAATACAGTATATAAACAGTATACACGTTTCCCGTGAAGTAGTAATTCAACATGGCCTGTAATACAGTATATAAACAGTATACACGTTTCCCGTGAAGTAGTAATTCAACATGGCCTGTAATACAGTATATAAGCAGTATACACGTTTCCCGTGAAGTAGTAATTCAACATGGCCTGTAATACAGTATATAAGCAGTATACACGTTTCCCGTGAAGTAGTAATTCAACATGGCCTGTAATACAGTATATAAACAGTATACACGTTTCCCGTGAAGTAGTAATTCAACATGGCCTGTAATACAGTATATAAGCAGTATACACGTTTCCCGTGAAGTAGTAATTCAACATGGCCTGTAATACAGTATATAAACAGTATACACGTTTCCCGTGAAGTAGTAATTCAACATGGCCTGTAATACAGTATATAAGCAGTATACACGTTTCCCGTGAAGTAGTAATTCAACATGGCCTGTAATACAGTATATAAGCAGTATACACGTTTCCCGTGAAGTAGTAATTCAACATGGCCTGTAATACAGTATATAAACAGTATACACGTTTCCCGTGAAGTAGTAATTCAACATGGCCTGTAATACAGTATATAAGCAGTATACACGTTTCCCGTGAAGTAGTAATTCAACATGGCCTGTAATACAGTATATAAACAGTATACACGTTTCCCGTGAAGTAGTAATTCAACATGGCCTGTAATACAGTATATAAGCAGTATACACGTTTCCCGTGAAGTAGTAATTCAACATGGCCTGTAATACAGTATATAAGCAGTATACACGTTTCCCGTGAAGTAGTAATTCAACATGGCCTGTAATACAGTATATAAACAGTATACACGTTTCCCGTGAAGTAGTTAATCAGTAATGGCCTGTAATACAGTAAATAAGCAGTATACATGTTTCCCGTGAAATAGTTAATTCGTAATGGCCTGTAATACAGTATATAAGCAGTATACACGTTTCCCGTGAAGGAGTAAATCATCATGGCCTGTAATACAGTATATAAGCAGTATGCACGTTTCCCGTGAAGTAGTAATTCATCATGGCCTGTAATACAGTATATAAACAGTATACACGTTTCCCGTAAAGTAGTAATTCAACATGGCCTGTAATACAGTGTATAAGCAGTATACACGTTTTCCGTGAGGTAGTAATTCAACATGGCCTGTAATACAGTGTATAAGCAGTATACACGTTTTCCGTGAGGTAGTAATTCAACATGGCCTGTAATACAGTATATAAGCAGTATACACGTTTCCCGTGAAGTAGTAAATCATCATGGCCTGTAATACAGTATATAAGCAGTATACACGTTTCCCGTGAACTAGTAATTCAACATAGCATGTAATACAGTATGTTAGCAGTATACACGTTTCCCGTGAAGTAGTTATTCAACATGGCCTGTAATACAATATGTAAGCAGTATACATGTTTCCCGTGAAGTAGTTAATAAGTAATGGCCTGTAATAAAGTATATAAGCAGTATACACGTTTCCCGTGAAGTAGTAATTCAACATGGCCTGTAATTCCGTATATAAACAGTATACACGTTTCCCGTGAAGTAGTAATTCATCATGGCCTGTAATACAGTATATAAGCAGTATGCACGTTTCCCGTGAAGTAGTAATTCGACATGGCCTGTAATACAGTATATAAGCAGTGTACACGTTTCCCTTGAAGTAGTAATTCAACATGGCCTGTAATACAGTATATAAGCAGTTTACACGTTTCCCTTGAAGTAGTAATTCAACATGGCCTGTAATACCGTATATAAACAGTATACACGTTTCCTGTGAAGTAGTAATTCAACATGGCCTGTAATACAGTATATAAGCAGTATACACGTTTCCCGTGAACTAGTAATTCAACATAGCATGTAATACAGTATGTTAGCAGTATACACGTTTCCCGTGAAGTAGTGTAGTAATTCAACATGGCCTGTAATACAGTATATAAACAGTATACACGTTTCCCGTGAAGTAGTTTATTAGTAATGGCCTGTAATACAGTAAATAAGCAGTATACATGTTTCCCGTGAAGTAGTTAATCAGTAATGGCCTTTATTACATACTTACTAATAAATACGTCTTTTTTGTATATGCGATACGACACATTTGCTCTAACCCATATCAGCCCTCGCCGTATCACACCCCAAAACCCGTATCAGCTCCCGCCGTATACCCCAAAACCCATATCAGCCCGCAAAACCCATATCACGCCCCATTTGGAAAAAAAATCGTTTTTCAATATTTCAAAAATGAAAATAAATCATAAGATAAAAATTTTTATTAGTAAGTATATAATAAACAGAATAAAACACACCTTTTTCCATATCACACCCAGTATCAACCCTCGACCAATATCAGCCCACGGGCCTTCGGACCTTGGGCTGATATTGCAGTCTCGGGTTGATACTGGGGGTGATATGGAAAAAGGCATGTATTATTCTCTATGAAATACAGTAAATAAGCAGTATACACGTTTCCCGTGAAGTAGTTAATTAGTAATGGCCTGTAATACAGTATATAAGCAGAATACACGTTTCCCGTGAAGTAGTAATTCAACATGGCCTGTAATAAAGTATATAAGCAGTATACACGTTTCCCGTGAAGTAGTTATTTAGTAATGGCCTGTAATACAGTAAATAAGCAGTATACACGTTTCCCGTGAAGTAGTTAATCAACATGGCCTGTAATAAAGTATATTAACAGTATACACGTTTCCCGTGAAGTAGTTAATCAGAAATGGCCTGTAATACAGTATATAAACAGTATACACGTTTCCCGTGAAGTAGTAATTCAACATGGCCTGTAATACAGTATATAAGCAGTATACACGTTTCCCGTGAAGTAGTTAATCAGTAGTGGCCTGTAATACAGTTCATAAACAGTATACACGCTTCCCGTGAAGTAGTAATTCAACATGGCCTGTAATACAGTATGTTAGCAGTATACACGTTTCCCGTGAAGTAGTTAATCAGTAGTGGCCTGTAGTACAGTAAATAAGCAGTATACATGTTTCTCGTGAAGTTAGTTAATTAGTAATGGCCTGTAATACAGTAAATAAGCAGTATACCCGTTTTCCGTGAAGAAGTTAATCAGTAATGGCCTATAATACAGTATATAAGCAGTATACCCGTTTCATGTGAAGTAGTTAGTCAGTAGTGGCCTGTAATACAGTATATAAACAGTATACACGTTTCCCGTGAAGTAGTTTATCAGTAATGGCCTGTAATACAGTATATAAGCAGTATACACGTTTCCCGTGAAGTAGTTAATCAGTAATGGCCTGTTATACAGTATATAAGCAGTATACCCGTTTCCCGTGAAGTAGTTAATCAGTAGTGGCCTGTAATACAGTATATAAGCAGTATAATTAATAAGTTAGCATGCCCTGTTGTACAGTTTATATTCTGTATGTAGCATACATTGCGAAGTAGTGAAGAAGCAGCATGACATTATTTCACTTTCATATTCTCTACATAATTACAAAGGGAATGAGGGCTGTCAATCCTTATAGCTAAAGAAAATACAAAGGGAGATAATCGGTATACTTACCGAGGGAACTAAGGATGACAGTCCGTACCACAGACTCATACAAGCGCGCTCTATCGGTAGATACAGGCATTCCTGTTTGACTGAAAAGGGGAAGATAAAACATATTAAAGTCAAAATAAGGAACAATAAAGGAATGCATAGATATACAATCTACAAATACGTCACGTTTCATACTCTGTCATTTAGTGTTTGGTCATATAACAAATGGTGTAAGACCGGAAGTTTCAATCTCTAAATAGTTTATGTGCAATTATTATCATCAACAGAATTTCCGGAAGTGACCATTATTCGTGTATTCCGTCTCCTTATGTTGTTTCTGTGTTTGGTTATATGCTTTTCCGGTTTCCTGAATAAAACAAGAAGTTGAAAAAAGGAATTCTTTTCAACATTTCCTTTTTCATTCCCTCAAATCGCATGAAACATACAATACGGTCATTTCGTAATAAAATATTCAAGTCAAAAAGCTGATTTTTATTTTTGTCCGTTTTAGAACTGTCAAAATGTATGCTTATAAAATAAAAATGTGTACAAAATGACCGTTTCAAAAATTTCATAAATGAGACCTGCGATATACTGTTAACTATTCTAATAGCTTTTTTCCATCCATGTTTAATGAAATAAATAATATCGCTTCAGACCTTCAAAATATTCGTTCCGCCTATCAGTTCAAAAAGTTAATAACACCTATTCCAAATTCAAACACAAAAACAACTGATGTCTTTAAGTTTTTAGGAAATAGGGAAACTTATAGTATTCTCTGTCAGTTGAGAAATGAGGCCAGTAACCTAAGTAATGACCGTCAGAAAGATTATCTTACTGAGTCCTCTGCATGTTCTTGTGGTTCTAGATTTGAAACAGCATCTCATTACTTCCATGATTGTATCAAATACACTGAAGATCGTATTCTACTTTTTCAGAATATATTCCATGAAACTCACAACCATTTATCATTAGATGTCATGCTAAATGGTTGTGAGAGATGTGATGAAAATGAAAATAAACATATTCTCCTATCTATATCCAATTACATTTTAAGTTCTAGAAGATTCAGGACATTTAACTTCAATTTTGAATGAAATTTTACATTTTATTTATTTACACTTTATTTATTTACATTTTATTTTTTCTCAATGTAATTCTTCTGATTTCCAGAAATGGTACATGAATATTAATATTAATATTTCCTATTTGTCTTCATTGTTTATTTTTAAATATTGTTAGTGAGGGGGGCTGGGGTTCAGAAGACCAGTTATACTATTTTATTAAAAAATATTGGGAAACAACTACATAAATAAGAATATAAAGCTTTACAACATGTTAATTATATATCTAACCTGTGTTTAATATGCATAAATTAAACTATTTGGTGGGATTGAATTTCCAAACTCATCAGTGGATGGCCTTGTGTGATACAATGGACTTTTTGGCCTGTATCTGTTGGGTGCGGTAATTTAATCCCATCAAATGTTTATACATGCAGCTCCATCAACAAACTATTTTTCTTTTCTCTTCATAATATGTATATACCGGTATATATTTTATGTCTTTTCAATATCAAAATAAAAGGTTAGAATTCAAACCATTAGATTCAATTATAATAAAAATGAGTATTAGTAGTTGTTTCCCCTAATTTGATTATTAATTTGATAATACCAACTTGTTTATATGTGTTTGTATGTGTTCTATGTCTATGCTTGTACCACTGTCTGTTACTATGTTTGGAAAGGGCTTAAATAGGCTATGCCTGCTGCCCAATCCATTTGTCCTTTGACAATAAAATTTATTGAAATATACAGTGTCAATCAAGGGTTACGTCTCTTTATTGGAAGTACCCGGATATACTGGACTTACTGTAGCCGGTAATGAATGGTACCATACTGATGATGATGACAACGAAGATAAGACGATCAACGTAGCTGTTCACAACCATGTAGATGAAAATTCCGGCCTGTAAATGAGATAATAAAACTACAACTCAGCAGACTGTACCGTTAAAATCAAATTCCACAAAGTACATGGTTAAACGGTTAGATATTTAAATAAAAATATTCCCAGAAATTTCAAACCAAATTCGTTAACGCATTTATTTCGCTTTTGAAAATATTTCCCAATGACAATATTACGTTATTAGTGACTCGATCATTCTTCAGTACTTAAAATGCCGATTGTTTTGTGAAAAAAAACCAAGACACCCGGGGCCATTCGATTAACTTTTTGAGGCAGATACCAGGAATGTAAAACTGAAATCCTAACGTCGTACCTGTGATGCAAACGGCAGACTAACGATGAAGGAGACAGTACAGGCGATGGCGACGAGGCACTCCCGACGTCTGACGATCCTCATCACTTGGAGAGGTATGACGGGGAGAAGCGTTTCCCAGATCGTGACGAGGTGGACGGCCTGATGAACGATGCCGAACAGGAAGGAGATCAGGTAGACACTGAACGCAACGAACGGTAGGTGGCGCAGCTTGCCGTACATCCCTACCAGTAGGTGTGAAAGTCCTAAAGAAAGAGACAGAACATTATATCATCATTTCAATAAACGAATTATCTGTAACCGGATATTCCTTACCTTACCTAAAGAAAATATTGTACCCTGTTTATGCATGACTTCAATGATTTCGTTTGACCTTTACGTACCTAGTTTGACCTTGGCCTGACCAGGTTTAATTTTTACGTACTGGTTTTACATTAATTCCTGATTCAGGGTTACACTGGGTTGACCCTCACGTACAGGGTGAACTGGGTTGACCCTCACGTACAGGGTGAACTGGGTTGACCCTCGCGTACAGGGTTACACTGGGTTGACCCTCACGTACAGGGTAACACTGGGTTGGCCCTCACGTACAGGGTGAACTGGGTTGACCCTCACGTACAGGTTTACACTGGGTTGGCCCTCACGTACAGGGTGAACTGGGTTGACCCTCACGTACAGTGTGAACTGGATTGACCCTCACGTACCTGGTTTGACCCCATTGGCCACTGCTATGAAACCAGAGTTACTGTCTGCCTGGAAAAACTGTCCGAATGCCAACATGAGAAGAACCGGAAGTGTACCGTAGATTGCAAGCAGAATGATCCACGACCTACAAATATCCGAAAAGAGTATAATCCATCGGACCACCTCAGGTGATAGCATAAGAGCTTATGATATGTACTTATACGGACGAATATAATCAGAATTTTCGAACCAGGGAAGATAATACAAAATGAATCAGGATCTGCTGGACCAAGAATGAGGCGTCTTTTAACATCCGGCAGTATATTAATCGTGGAGTTATATTATGTACACATTTATTTCTCATTTGAAGATTGAAATCGTCGGCAGACAATCGTTGACTCTGACAGAACACACATCAAATAAACCTTGCACTTCTTCACAATGGAAAAAGACAAGCAGTGTTAAAGCTTCACATACTGATAAAGTACACACAGAACTTACGCGTTGATGACTTTCTTGCTGTTGTAGAGCTGGGCTCCCATGGAGGGCAGGATCCCGGCCCACAGTCCAACACTGCCCATGTGGATCAGCAGGGCGCTCACCCACGGCTGTTACAACAATAAGCAACCCTCATTAGTCTGCGCCATCCGCACAAACTATCTATTACAGTATACCGCTCAAAGGTCCCTGTACCACTGCTAAAAACTAAAAGTTTGCATTGGATTGACTATTTTTCCTGCATAACTACAACTTTGATAAATTAGTTTTGAAAAGAAAATTATACCTCGTGGAACTTAAAAACAAAAATGATCAAGATGACAGCGTTCTAAGTGTAAAATACAACGGAACCAAGGACATCCGATCAAGCTGTCGCTCGAACCAGCTGAGCTTCATGGCCAATGCTGCAATGTGGTACTCTGGCTCAGCTACATATTATAGCCAAAAGGAAATTAAAGGGGGATCACTGTTTGTAACTTTACGAAAAACAACAGTGGGGGTCTCTTATATTTGACCGGCAGTGGGGCAGCAACCATCATCTGATTCAATCACAGTATCACGATGAGATTAGATTATAAACTATTACATGGAAATACAAAGACAGTTAAAATGATTGCAATGTAAGACAATTCGAGTCTTTGAAGGGTATTCTAACGTACAAAGGTATCGGCGAGTTTATGTCTGCATAACATTCAAACCTTTGGTTGAGCTAGATCCGACAATGTCCTGGTCCTGGTCTCTCTTGGGACCACTTCCTCAATGACGTCACTTTTGTTGTTTTTTGATGGAACCACACGGTATTCACGGAATTCTGGTGGGGTGTACTCGTCCGGTGGTCCGACGGCGATGAACGCATACATGAACACTACGAAGGCCAGAACGAGACAGACAGGCGTCAATCCGTACACAATCTGAAAGTGTACCCAAAAAAGTTGTTTTTTTACACTCTTAGAAACAAATACAAACGAGAAAATTTGTGTCTGTTTATGCATGTGCATAAAAAGTTAGTTACATTATTGTAACTCAAACCTTTTGCAGTAACATCATCATAGCCTAGTCTATACCACAGCGTGTCTGATTGGATTTCATTGATCACACGACGAGAAAATAAACATAGGGTTCCCCTAACGCGCTCGACTTTCCCGATCATATTTCCCCTTTTCGCAGCTTCGATAGAAAAATTCGCATGATGCACCACACCTGAATTCCGAGTGACTAGAGTAAACAGCAACAATGTTACAGATGCCTGACCATATTCATTGTTGTGTTACTGTTCAATTTCGGTATAATAGAATATTTATTACCCTTATGGTAGGGAACACGATCCTTTGTTTCCCTTCGATTAATAACGATTAATCTCGGGACAGCAAAAAAAATGATGTGTTTGCCTACCATGCACAAGGGCGAAAAATGTATAGTGAAACCCTGGACTGTCTGCTGTAGCACGCTCACCTTGCCCAGCCCTTGGAAGCCCTTGAAAGTCATCAAGTACGTAACCATCCATGTCGCCAGGAGACAGAGGGCTATATACCAGACCACGTGACCACCTTGGCCTATGTGTTGGGAACGCTGCAGAAACCCTTGGCTGGAACATAGCACATGCATACATACATAACTGTTAATCTGTTTGCATACGCCCACTAATCCTATTTAATTTCTAAACACTACTGCATTATATGAACATATTTTGTTTGAATAGAAAATGGAGTTGTAAAATGGAGTTTGGAAGAAAGAGTACTTACTGGAAGTGAATCGATGCGTAGTTTGGGTCAGTATTCCGTAAACTGCAAAATACAAAATGCTTATTTTTCAAACCGTTCTGCGACTGGGCAAATGTACTATCATTCAGTTAGAGCCGCAGTGAAATGGTCAGACGTCCAGACTCCTGATCCGAACCCCTTGTATATTGTACATTCAGAATACTGTTGACACCTTCTTTCTTATTAGTTAATCTATATTTTCCCTTAAAAGTCCACAAGTCATTGCCTTGTTTTCAGTAACGATTTATCAAAGTTATGGTAATGCAGGAAAAAACCCGTTCCAAATGCATAGTGACAGTGTTTTGGCTTTGGTACGTGGATTATCAACGCTTTATAATACAATCGTTATAATTTGTTTGAACATGTTGAAATGACCAGTGTTTTGAAAATGTATACTTTCAAACTTTATTTAAGTGTTGTATCTGTCTTTCTACATATTTAACATATAATATACTATCTAGCTGTAACCGTATATATTTACCCAAGAGAGTCGTTCTTGAAAGCCGCGAACATGTAGTAAAGGGAATAGCTGAGTTCAAGGCCGTTTACGAGAGACCGGATATACGTCATCAACAATATGGCCACCGCTGAACCTAAAGGTGAAAACATTAACAAGATAGCGTGCATTGGTACATTAAGTGATTCGTCTGGTACGTTAAAACATGCACGTCTGCTAAAGTTTTTGTATCATAATGAAATATGTAATGGACTATTGTCGTGCATGTGTCTATTACCTAGGCTACAGACCATATTCTATGTTGATGAATTCAATTATTGTTTAGCGTGAAGGAGACGGAATCTTCTAGAAAGAAGCTTGAGATTGCTGTAATACTTTACTGCTACAGACCAGACATGACATGAGTAAGCAGACTGGCTGTGATGAGCAATGCAGCAGCGATACGATGTCAGAGAGCGAACTCACGCGACAACGAAACAAGATTTAGAAAGCACTCGCCGGTCTACGCCAGCTATACATAGGGAGCCTATATCACATGACAATATTCCATTAAGAGTTATTTAGATTCTTTGTTGAACAATAAGGCCGCAGTCTGGTTACAAATGGAGTTGAATCCACTTAAGATATTTTCCCGCCAGTATTAAACTCGTTCATGTGTCGTGAACTCGATCAAAGTAGTTGTCTGAGTATCGACAGCTGGACCAAACGCTTCGTATATGTATTTTTTCTATTTTTGAGAAAACCAGAGTACCCGGAGATAACCCACGCGGTCGTGCGGGTGACCCCATGCATGTGTACCTCCGATCGGGGAATCGAATCCTAGTCTAACATCTTGGTTAAAGGCGCGTGATCTAATCACTGCCCCATCCGACCACCTAATGTTAGTGTTATCAAACATAAAAAATATGAACTGATGGTATCAAATCTATACTTAGATTGTTACAGACATTGTTACTGAAATATACAGATTTGATCGCTAAACCTACACTATATTATTATTATTAAAGTAGTAAGGACTCATCAAAACAACCAGGACATACAGAGGACAGTCCATCATACTAGTATACACGTAAACGGTAGATGTACAGGGACACTGAAGTTAAAAAACAAAGGCCTCTACTATTTCAAATTATATACCAGGTCAGTTATGGTCTTTACAATGTTACCCGAGTACCCAATTCTAACCTAGGGGGACATAACAGGTCTATTCCTTCCCCGAACAGACACGATACCTATGATGGCGCAGAATACTTCCTCTAAACAGATAAGGCAGTGCTCATTTGTCGTATGTTCGATCGTGAAAACGACGTAATAACAGCGTCATAGGGAATTAGATCATAATAAAAAGATGTTATGAAATTTTCAGCTCTTAAATTCTATGTATGATATACGGTTGATACCAAAAATAGCATTTGACTACAATGCGGTGCGTTCGATACCAGAGACGGCAAACAAAATCGATGTTTATGACAACGAGCGTAATGTTATTAGGCGTTAATGTATTGTAATTGTGCTTTTTTATCGATAGTCATATTTTAGTGCTTTTAACGCAAACTTAAAACCGCTTAATAGATATTCCACAACGAGTGGCGTTGTTAATTATGTTATTTTAACTCGAGTGAGTTATTTTCTGTTATAGGTTTTGCCGTAAATCACAGAAAATAAAATAAAATTACTTGTAAATTAACGATCAAGTTATTGACTTTCCTCTAGATAAACGCCAACAAAATCCTGCGTTCCTGAGACATGTATTTAAATGTTCAGATATAAATTTTGTTCCAACGAAATACAAGGTACAGCCTACCAATTTCCCAGTGAGAAGAGTAGCAGGCCCAAAAGTGTGAGTGGTTCTGAACAAAAAAACCCCGAGTTAGACAAGTCTCGGGGAATGACGAGGAATGACGATAATGACGAGGAAATGCATTGGTGACATGATGGGGAGGTGAGATGTTATACCGACAAACAACTGGTTCTCAGGAGGTGAGTGGGGGTACCGAGTATGTACAAGTTAATGGTTCTCAGGAGGTGAGTGGGGGTACCGAATATGTACAAGTTAATGGTTCTCAGGAGGTGAGTGGGGGTGCCGAATATGTGAAGTTAATGGTTCTTCCAAAAGCTGCATCAATGAGTGGGTCGATTGTTTGTTGGTTAGTGTCACACAGTTTTTATCAATGCTGTATACAGTAGCAACTGTCGCCGTGATCAAAGCAGTTCTAAGGTTCACCGACAGGTTACCATTTTACATGTAAACAATTATATCATATTCTAGTCAACACATTTGCCCCATGTACTCAATTACTTTTTCTACGGCTATAGAAAAATAAAACATCTTACATACAAGACGTCATGGCGTCAATGCGAGAGGATCGGTAAGCGGTAGCAGTATAAAATGCTCGATTTGCTATGGTTTCAGACGTCCTCAAGTCTAAAGGAACGGTATGCGTGTATATAGTAGTACCTGTATTGTAGATATACTATCAAATGAACAATTTATTGTTGTATATTCGAACAATTGACAATTATGTTCCACTGTGCATATGTATATATGATGTTATATTGTCACGTACGCGTACGTACACAGGTGAGCATTCATCACTCGGTTGGGCTACCTGTATAGGCAATCGTCCGTCACGCTCTATTGACTTACCACTGTATGATGGCCAGCTTAGTCCCTAATTCTCAATGAAAACAGTTTACGTTATTGAAGTTGGAAGTTGTTGAAATAAAACTTTACTTGAATATTACACGTTTCATTCAACATCGACGACATTATGTGTTATTAAATGTGTGCTTTGATATTATTTCAAACTGTGGGTCCAGGATTGCACTTGTGATTACCCTTACAATCAGCCATGTCGGATTGTAACGAGGACGCAGATTGCAATGAACTTACGCCTACATATACGGACTTGTTACCGATCAACCAAGATTACATGCAATCTCCTTGGCAAAACGGTCAAATAAACTGTCGTGATGACCATGCCGAATTTGACGAAAGCTATATACTCGGAGACTCGGTACCAATTGATAATCAGATATCGACTGAGAGTGTTTACGATGGTGACCAGTCAACCGCGGCGGGTAGAACTACACACTCTACGGCGACCTATATGGAACAGGTAGAAAGGGTAAAGGATCGCCCTAAAACAATACTTATTGACGAAATCCGACAGCTGACACGGGATAACGTTGCTGATATTGAAATGTTACGCGATGCATTATTTGCTAAGGCTTGCACTCTCGATGACTTTCCATACAGGGAGGGATACCTTAGGAAACGTAAGGAGACAAGGGCACCAAACGCTCCTTCATTACAGGCAAAGTTAGCAAGAGACTGTTTTGTGCTGGTACGTGCGTGTGAGGGTGAATTCGTGGAGGACTTGTCCGATGTCGTGCCTACAAAGCAAAAGCGGACTCAATCACTTTCTTACAGTAATAGAAATCGCGGTGCTAGCGAATTGGCAGGATTTAGTGTGCTACAGGAAACCATAGCAGTCTTGAAACGCGATATGTACTTTGTGAAAAGTGACCACAACGAGAAAATAGAAACACTTACATCAAGAATCGATGGTTTAATGAAAGAGAAAGAAAATGCTAAAAACAGGGCGTTAAAGTATAAAGAAGACTTGAAGCAACTGCAAACGGAGGTAGCAGAGATCAAGATTTCACGTGAAAAAGCACAGCAATCCTATGAAGCATTGCAAGAAACTGTCAGCGAACTGAAACTAAAGCAGACCGAGGATAGGACGGAAATAAATTCCTTGAAAACTGAAAATGGGAGGATCCGAAAGAAAAGCTGTTCAACGATCAAATGTATTGAGGATGAACTACGTGAAAACAAAAGACAAGTGGAACAAACGATGAAACAGATTGTAAAGATGAAAATGGATATTAAGGAGACGGTAGAAGCCACAACAGACTTTAAGAACATGGCAAAAAGATACGATAACGAACAATTGAATGGTGTTGAAAGTGTTAAAAAGACAATGAAACTGGTATCAGACCGCGTGACTAACTACACAAAATGTTACGAATCAGACCTGAGTGAGACAAGGGAATCATTAAAGACATGTGCAGCATCGGTAGTTGGTATAAAGAAACAAGTTGACAAATTAAGGAAGGACATACAAAGAAAGAGTGAACACAACATGACCAACAGGAGTGTGGATCTTATCGAGGAGAGTCAGACAGAACCAGCCGTAAAGACGTTTAACAGATTCAGTGTGTTGAGTGCATCATCGAACAATCAGATAAACCAGGTGGATAACTTGGAAAGCACAAAAACAGCGAATTATTTCACAGACACGTTAGATCCTAAAACCGATCGGAACGCTAGAGGACTCTGCCAAGGAAACGACACGCGACAAAAAACTTGGAGCGACATGTTACAATCGGAGTCTCTAAATGAGAAGCGTTCCGTGGATACTGAGAATCCATCTTATATATCAGCTGAAACGACAACTCAACACCCGATAAAGGTCCATTTCCCAACATCTGTGTGTAATCCGATGGCAAAGCGATTTGTGGGATTCCAGCAGCAACAAAGAAGGAGAATCAGGCGATTCTACGTACATGGAATAAACCGACAAATATCCTCAGAAGCTGCCATGCGAAGCTATCTTGAGGAAGCTAATGTGCGCGTTACTTTGTTAAGGTATTTTGAGAAACGATGGAAGAACACGGCATCAGCGCAATTGAACATAGTAGCGGAGGACGCAGATATTATCAGCGATGATTCGTTCTGGCCCGAAGGGATCCGAATGAGGGAATGGCAGCCACGCGAAATTTTCTTGAGTGAGCACAGATATGTCTGAAATTGTTAATGCGATGTGTTGGAACATTGAAGGCATCATGTCAGGGACACCATATCTAATAGACTGCCTTCAGAAATATGATATTAATGTTTGTGGTATATCTGAGCACTGGTTACGCGAATTTAATATGTCATTTATGGACACATTTAAATCTATTGGGTACAGATGTATAGCTAAACCAGTTTTTGAATT